GCGACCCGACCCCGGATAGGCGGAAGAAAATGGATGGATGGATGGATGGATGGATGGATGGATGGGTTGGTAAATGTTTAGAAATATCCTGTTATGATGTGCAGATATTAAAACTTTATGAAGAGAAGTTGTCATCTAATTTCCTTATAATTTGATCTCTTGAAAATCCACAAAGACACAAGTTCTCTGTTTGTGTCCATCAGGATCCTCAATGTTGGTGTCTGTGGCATAAAACCATAATTAGTTTGAATGTATGTAAATCTGATTTTGACCTTTGCTGTAAAATGCAAATAAAAATTGAGATTTTTGCATCTCAATTTGTGAATCAGTGAAGAAAATTAAAAAAAACCTAAATATCTCTCCATGTCCTTCGGTGGTCTTCCAAACATGTTCATTTTAAACTACTCTAAAGCTTTTCATTGTGATAAGTCATTTCCTTTAGGACAAGAACTAAAGTGGGAAACATCCATCACAGCTGGTCCGCTCCGCCTCCAGCTGTGCTCGTAATGTCTTTTCTCAGCATCGGACATTGAGTCAGACAATCCCGTCACAGCTTCCAGCGTTAAACTGCCCATTCAGCCCAATTTAGGTGAGTAACTGCCCACCATCACACTTGACTTWAAAAAAAAAGGTCTCTGTTAAAAATGAACAACTGTGCTCTGTTTCAACTGGGAATAAAAAAAGTTATCAAGGTAATTTGTCTTTTAAAGTCTTTTTGTTTTGGTTGGATTAAAATGTTGTCTCGTTAAGATARTTTGTTTAGTTTAATTGGATCGGGTCAGTTTGTCCCATATGGTCTTGTGTTTAGTGTCTCCCTGCAGAAACTTCAACAACAGGGATATAAAATGAATCAGCAACTAAGAAATAAAAACTGTTTGAATTTTTTATCAGTTGGTCCATTTTTCTATTGAGTTTTGGTAATTAAATGTTTTTATTATGTAGTGCAGTGAATTAAAGCTGAGATTCAACASGTCCAGGTTTTGTCCCCTGTCCTCAGCACCTCTGAGAGTTACTGCTGAGTACCTGATTCCCTGCAGAACTAGTCTTATGGTCTTCAAGGTCTGGATCTTAAAGTACCCGTGACTGCATAGACCTCAAATACAAAAGTCAAAGAAAATTTTTTTATATCTAAGAAACTTGGCATGAAACATATAATTTTACTCATTTCATCACATAACTGGCAGATTTTCTTTTGAGCTTGACTCAGTTGAAGTGAAACAGGAAGTGACATCAAAGGGGAACTCCAAGAAAACTAACTCTGATATTTGTTTATCGAAACATTATTATTTAAACTAACTCTTCATCTCTCTGATAGACTCAAAATAATCCAAAGAAACATCAGATTTTTCTCTACAGTCTACACTCTTTACATGCAGACATTCCCCTATGACATCACTTCCTGTTACTTCACATGCAAATATCTCAACAACTGTTCATCTTAGAGAYGGGAAATTTGTTTTGCAGTGTTTTATTAATGTTATCTTTCTAAAAATCCTTTCATATTTATTACACACATTTGATGTGAGAGGCACTTTAAGGTCTAGTCCTGGAGAGGAGGGGGTCAAGCTGTGACCTTCAGCGTGTTCTGAGTCAGGATGAGAGTTGAAGTTTTAACRTCAGAGGTTACAGGATCTCTCTGGGTTGAGTCTTTGAGTTCAAGCATCTGGGGGGTCCTGATGGAGCATGAGCCTCGTCCTCAGTAATCAGGATGTGTTCCTGCTCTGTTGAGATGAAGGAGCTGAGCTGAAAGAACAAGATCTGGAATTACAGATCTGTCTACGGTCCAACCCTCACCTGTGATCACGAGGTTTAGATCATGACCCAAAGAATTGGATCCTGGATCCAAGTAGCTGGATTGATTTTCCTTCATATAAAGGCCCAGCAGGCTCCACCCRAAGCCTGACATTCGACTTCTGGTCACGTTTGTTTGTCATCGATCCTGAGACACACRTCACAGAGCTCCTGGGACAACACGTTCTCACTCCCGACACGTYAAMATATTGCCGCTAGGTCAGGTACAGTCTGCRTCCAGTTTTGCCGCGTCAGGTACCCCCCTCGCATCCGTTATTGACACCCGTGGCTTTTCCGGGTTSCGTCACGTAGGGGTCTTTGGGTTGAGGGTCTGTGGTTWAAATGAGGGATCRGGGTTAATGGGTAATTTTAGGTACTGAGGTCAGGGATAGGATGTCTAGGGCTAAGAGAAGTTAAATTTAKGGTCTGGGATGGTTAGTTGTCGTGCATTTCCTTCAAAAATATGACAACGCCCTCCTCCTCCACCATCTCATCTCATCAATAACTGAC